TTTTTTTTTTTTTTTTGTATTTTACCAGTGAGAAATGAGAGCTGGACCAAAGTCATACAATTAGGAGTTTGTATCCAGTAGGACATTCAGTTAATGTCTTCGGACTTGCTAAGATTGAAGTTTATAGATTCTGTTACATTTCGAGTGCAGGAGGGAAATGCTGTAGCTTTTCCTCAGGCCTTTGTGTGTTACTGCATATGTGAAAGATCTGTTCAAAATATATATATGAAAAGTGGAAACGTTATTCTTAATCCATTTTTGTTGTTTAAAAAAAAAAGTAATTTCTTTTTTCCGGTTCATTTCGTCCATAGCTACCATGTTGTCTTTTATATCTTTTATATTGTCCCTGATCAAATATAGTTTGTTACCATGATGAAGACAATTACGACAGATATAAAGTAACAATGACTCATTAAAACCTGAGGAAATGTGGAAGTCGGATTTGATCATTTTTAACTTGGTGTTGTTTTAGGGACTCAAAAAGAAAATCAGCTGAGCAACGATGGCTGATAGATTCATCAGAAACGATAGCTATGAACGAAATGTTGCCATCGAGTTATGCCTGCCCAACATCAATTTTCTCCTCGCCTGACCTATCAGCCGGAGAACCAGTTTACAGTACCTTGTATGTACCTGTTTTTGGTGGTGAGACCGATTTGGGTCCTGGCTATGAAGACTTCGAATACATCGATTCGACCGCTCCTGGAGAAGTGAAAGGATGGACATATTACCCCTTATTCTCTCAAACAGATAATTCGGGAAGTCATGCTGCAGTTAGTTCTCATTTTCAACGTTTTAGTACTTTATAACTCTTTTAGGGACTCAAAAAGGAAATTAGAAATAAGTAACAGTGATTGGTAGATTCATCAGAAACGGTAGCTATGAACGAAATGTTGCCATCGGGTTATGCCTCATCATTTTTCTCTTCTCCTGATCTGTCATCGGGGAACCAGCATACAGTACTTAATGTATTCATGCTTGGCTGAAGCTTATAGTAAAAATGAGACTGTTGCTTAGACATCTGACAGAAGTGGAAATTTATGCTGATGCTTATAAGATCTTTTCAGCCCAAAAAACTACAGAAGATTGCTTCACAGCCATCGAATCAATCGACGTCAATAGGTTTATCGCCTCATGTGGTCGTCGCTTTCAGCATATTCCTAAAACTGGAAGGTTATGCTGAACTATTGGTAACGTACGATCGAAAACGCGCTAAAGGCCTTCTGAGGCTTGCAATGGGCGTCATCACTACTGAAAGTAACAGCCTTCTCATCCTTCTTCTGTACTAAATTTTTTCCTATAATTAAGCGTAATACTGGGATGCTGCGGTTGATGTTGGTCTGTTATTTGTAATGCTTCATTTTCTCTGGAAATCTGAAAGAATAATGTTTGCTCAAATTTATTCCAAAGCGTTTCACCATGGTACGACAGCATAGAACTGCACGTAATTCTGAAATTCTGTACTATCACCGATAATAAATTCTTGTTCATATTTTGGAGTGTAAGAAATAGAAATGAAATCTGGAACGACGAGACATCTTATTGTAGAGTTACATTTCTATGTGATATAATATTTTACTGGGTCTCATTTTTCTACAGCATCTCTTGTGAGCAAACAGCAAGTGGTGAAACCAGGTATATTTCACAAAGCCACCCAATCGCACTTCCAATCAAAGCAGAAGTCGGAATACGAAAATCTTGGTTCATTGCCTTTTGTGGTTCTAGAAGAATTATTCAACAAATATTTGCCCTATTCATCTTCTGGAAAGTAAGTTATGCGGCATTATACTATCATTCTTTTTATTGTTTTGCTAAATCAAGTCAAATAAAAAGTCGGGAACAAGCAGTAAGAAAACACATGAAATAAAATAATCAGCACTTCTAACCTTCTAAGGTTCTGCATTATTTCAAACCAATTTTTTTCTAATTTTTCGACAATTTGATACAATAGTAAGATAATAACTGTGATTCGTCCTTCGTTTATCTTCCTTACCTTTTTCACCCTTACTTTTTGATTGTTTACACTCTCATCAAATCTTACAACAAGGAATTTGGGATCTCATTGCTTGGATTCTTTCCTAAGCCCTAAAATTTAGTGAATTTAATAAATTGAAAGGAAGAAGCCAAATAATATTAAAAGGAGGGAAAGAGAAGAGAAAATAAAGGCTACTACCAAATTCTCCAGGGCACTTCCTGTCGGTCGATAAACGAAGTTGTATCTTACAATTATTAGAGCAATATCATCATTGTTATTATTTAATTCTATAATCATTTCTTATTCATGAAATTATTCATTACAACCATCAAAGACGTAATGAAAAGAAACATATAAATTTCAGCATTGTAGAAGGATGTTTTAAAGTAGATTATATATTAGTGTATGCTGCAGGTCCTTACGGGAAGCTGCTGTGATTAGTGGCGTTTTGGACGTTTTGTTGGATTGTTTGGCTCATTATACCCATCAAAAGCATAGGGAAAGGTCCATTCGACCGTCATCCCTTCCGCCAGCTCCTGAGACGGTAAATACATTTTTGTGCAAAATGCATATGTTCGGTGTTACTCTTTATGCATAACTTTTGTGCAGGCTGTTTTGGTCGAACACTTGTTGCGGAGCTCGGTGGAACCGGAACAATCGTCGAGTGAAAAAGCCAACTTTGGCTTGCCACCAGAAGAAAGTTTGAATAACTCTGGAAGTGCTGGACCAGCATTAAGCTCTACTTCGAATGTTACTCAGCAACACAGTTTTTGGGCCAAAGGTACTGGTTTTGGCAGTGGAACTACGCAACAACAGTGGAATGTTGATTTACATGTCCTGAAGCGAAAACAGGACGAACAGAATGTTACCTATCTGTTGAGGGTATTTTTTGTTTCTTTCCTAAAGAAATGTGGAGTGCCCTCCTACGTGTTTTGTTTTATAAGTTTCTGTTTTTTGCTTCTTTTTTTGATGTAAAAAGCTGTGGAATCTGCTATTTAGTGATACAATTAAGCATAAATTCTCTCATTCTGTGCGGGTATACGATATGCTGAGCTATCATTTGATGAATCTCTTCTCCTGCTACTTTCTGTTGGCATGCTACTTCCTGTTTTCAAAGATACCACGAACTTTGAAATCTGGAATGTAACTCATTATTTTATTATTTTAGCTCATTATTTTATCGCTTCCAATTTGAGGTACTTGCAAGCTTTATATATCCCAAAATTAATGACCATTTGAAAGCGGAGAAGAATTGGGCAACTGACATCAGTGAAGGTAATGCAGCAGCTTCATTAGCATTTTCGGATTCAGAAGATACTGAAGCGCATAGCAAAAGTCGATGTATATCACCAATGCTTGTGGCAGGTAGCACTTTTATTACTTTTTAACTTTGTTCTGTAACGTCGTTCTCGAGATTTTATTTGTTTTCCAGCTTCTGCTGTCAATGTATTTTTTCTCATAACCAAAGAATTTCTGTTCGATTGAAATGAGACCCTGTTTTGCAGATCCGTCGATGCCAGGATCTTCATCGGGACATGAATCACTTTCTTCAGTCATTTCATCAGCTTCTGTGAAATGGTCCTTGAGCTCAGCTGTAGTTAAAATGTTATCTCGTTCCTGTTTATTGCCAGCTATTTGGGCATATCTTAGGAATGATTCCGGTTTGTCTCATCTCGCATGATTCAGTTTGCTTTAGTAAATGATCTGGTAGTTTCCAGTTAATGTTTTTCGCTTCTCTGGTTTCGTTTTTGAAGGATTTTAACATTATACTTTTTCGGTTCGTTGCAGTCTTGGACATATCTCAGCATGTGGAATTGTATGAAGCAGTTATGCACATGGTAGCTGCACTGGCATTGTCTCCAAAGTCAACAGGTGAAAGAAGGGAAGAGGTGGATGAGATTACTGCATTGCTGTCAGAACCGGAATCAGGTTGCTCAATGCATGCAATGCTAAAGAAGCTGTTGGACTGTGTTTCTGCATATCTTACTAGGCTCGCTGTTGAATCTAACGAAACCAGATTACAAAAGTAAGGATTTCACTGATGAAGGTCATGATTTGGACATATTTAATATTGATAATTTTAGGTAAGAGGGCTTGGAAGATTATCTTATTGTGAGTGGTTGTAATGTTTTATGTCTTTTCTTGATCTTCGGTTAATTTTCGTTACTGAAGAATTCTCTACTTATTCTTAGATTTGAGTAGGGACATTAAATAAAGTCCCGGAATTGTAACTCTGATATATCCAAATCCTGCAAACGTACTTCAATAATATCACTGTGATTATTATAGTAGGAAATACATACTATTAATGATAGTAATAATAATGGTGATGCGATCATAACTGATGGATTGGAAAAGTTGGCTTGTGTTGTATAGATGACAGAAGAATCCAGAGTTCCTTAAAATATCTGATTGACTGTGAGCTAAGATTGATAATAGAAATGCGATAATTCACGTTTCCTTGAATGTTGAATACTACTGGAATAGGAAATTCTTGATTGAGTCGAGATATTGAGATTCACTGTTTGCTGCGGTAAGTTTGAAACGATGTGAGAAAAAATTATTGAATGACTTATGCCATTTCAAAGATTATGTTGGATTTGAATTATATTAGTCTTTTTTAGTCTAAATATCCAGCAAACTGTGGAAAGTAATGAAGAATCAACACAAAATCGCGAAGAAGGTCTCATGCGACTTGCACCACTGATCACCACAGTTTGTATGATTCTTTCGAAGCGTAAGTTTTCATTCGTTTTGTAATTTTATTACACGGTTTGGTGTATATTTTTGAATAGAGGAAAGTTCATTCATTCGTGTTTTATTAATTTAAATTATGTTGTTTCTTCATAAACCAACGATAGCTGAATGATAAATGACCACTTTTTTTCGCCATTTCAGCGTAACTGTATATCTTGTAGTTTATAGCAGGAACTTTTCTAGGAGTAAAAGAGTTACCTGTGAAATCACAAAATAACGAGAAGAATGCGGTTACTGAAGAAGAAAAATATGTAAAAGTTATGAAGGCTTCGCAGTTTGGTTAGCAGCTCATTTTTCATTAATTACACTAATTCCACTTGTTGTTGTATCATCAGTTCATTGAAATTTCGAATATAATGCAATTAGTAATGATTTTCCAGAGACAATATCGTTCTTTGCTGAGGGTTCATTCATTCCATATCATTATGAAAGTTCACTTTCCTCTGTTGGCACCAGTAGTTCTATGGGAAAACGTACTAGACGTTTGGCGCAAGAAATTGTCACGCTGAGTAATTCATTGCCACTGAGTTCAAGTAGTTCTGTTTTTGTCCGCGCTTGTGAAGAACGACTGGATGTCATGAAGATGAGTTATACTTTTCACTCGCAAATTTTCTGAATTGGGATTTTTTAATTTCCCTGTATTGTTAATTATTCGAACTGCAATATGGTATTTTCAAAGATGGGAACTATAAAAATTGTGTGAACGGAAGTGTAAAATGACAAAAAGATGGTGAAAACAGTTATAGAGTACAGAGTTTTTGGTACAGACCAGTATTATTCAGATTTCAATTAAAATTTATTGTTTAATTCGTACTTTCATAATTTCGGATGTTATTTTTATAGGTGTTGATTACGGGTCCAGCAGAAACTCCATATATGAATGGATGCTTTGAATTTGATGTTTGGTTTCCAACCGACTATCCAAATTCACCTATGCATGTAAATCTTGAAACGACTGGCAATCATACTGTTAGTTTCACTGATGATTTCAGATTGCACAGTGAAATGACTTCATCAGGATTGTCTTGGTGGATATCTACGACTTTATTTTATTAGTTATTACCGCAAGAGTTTCATCAGCACATTAATATGAATTATAGGTTCGATTCAATCCTAACTTGTACAATGATGGAAAAGTATGTTTGTCGGTATTGAACACATGGCATGGCCGACCTGAGGAACGGTGGAATCCGGAAACCAGTAGTTTATTACAGGTATAAAGTCAATTATTGTATATTTTCCTTTCTCTTAATACACTCTACATAGCTCGTTGAAATATGTTTCCCTGGTATCTCAGTTTTTTACGCTAACTACATCTTGGTTTTATTCAGTCATTATTTCCCAAATGCATATATGTTTAAGAGTACTCAAAAAAAAAAAAGTCGTTCATCTGTTCGATTTGCATCAAATATTTTTTGAGGTGATTGTTAGTGTGCAATCTTTAATCTTAGTAGCGGAACCGTATTTTAACGAACCAGGATACGAACGATCAAAATGTACTCAGGCGGGACAACAGGTGTGCATTCCATTCTGCAATGGCTTTATTTGGCAGTTACTTTTCTGGGCAAAACTCAGCGTTTTTTTTCCCGTGCAGTTATGCTAAATTTTCGTTGATGTTATGAAGTCAACTTAGGCGTCGCGAGAATATGATGCTAATATTCGGCAAGCAATGGTGAAGTGGGCGATGCTTGAAATGATACGGCATCCTCCGCCAGCTTTTGCAGATATCGTAAAGAAGCATTTTTGGTTGAAACGAAAGGAAATATTGTCACAGGTTCCACAATTTTCGCAGAATTCGATCATCATCCACGAAACCAAGCACCAAAAACCCAAACTTGAGTTTGTTTAGTAGTAACTGAACTTCGCCCATTTAAAAGTCAGATACCCTCTAGCAGCTTCTTATTCTAGCCGGCGCACCATATGCAAATGTCTCAGTTCTGTTTTTTTCTTTTTTGAGGTATCGAAATGGATTGCTGAGATGGAACAACTAGTGAAGCAACAACGTGGAAGTGGGCGGAGCATCCATGGTCATCTCGCTTCTTTAAAGGTGATCCATAGCATTTCAAAGTATTATATGTTTTTTTTTTTTCAAGTATTATATCTGTTTTGATTTTCAATCCTTGCTAGATGTGCAGGTTTTGGCGTAAGCTACTTCAAACTCCCACGTGGCAGTGTTCAATTTTTTAAAAATTTAACTTGCTCTATTAAGTAATTGGTCGTTCAGAGGCATGCCGCTGCACTGGAGGATGAATATCGACGGATGGAGTGTCCTGCAGACCTCAAAAGTACGAGTGCATCATTCATCCAGCAAGCAAGTCTAATGATAAATGAGCAACAATCACAAAGTTCGGATGGTTCGGGACAGATACCTCATGACAGTTTGAAGAGCCTCTCAGTGATGAAGATCCTCAAATTATAAAATCTTTCATTGCATGTTTCCCCATGAGAAACTCCCCAGACTTAGAGATAAAGTGATGTCTTCTGGAAACTCTTCTACCAGTATAAGAAATTCATGGGTTATGGCTCTGCATATAGCACTCGTTTCTTTGATCACTAGAACATGCTTCACAAAGTTGACAGTCTTTCTCTCTAGTATGTTTCAAGAATTTCAGAATTTGTTCATTTCGCTGTCCACCTTGACTCGTATGTATAGTCATTCTTTGATGTTGATCTTTAAAATCTCATTAAGCGTGTAAATACTAGAAAAAGTGGGAGAATTGAGTGCGATGCATCCACCGAACGTCAGATCCACATTGAGTTCCATTTTCTGGTTTTGTTTCATGAAACAAATGCAGTATATGTCGCATACTATGTGGAGAATTTTCTTTAATTCTTAAAGATGTTTCTTGAAAATTACTCTTGACGTCGTGCTTTTTAAACGTTTTTTATTTACTGTTTGGCATACAACAAGGATTTTTTGATTCAGAAGTCGGTACAATTTTCATATGTCCTATAAAATGTGTCTCCAATATTATTTGTTCTTCGAACTAATTACCATCGGTACACTGAATACTGATGGGGCGGTGGCCGGTCACGGCCACGGCTTCTAACACGCAAGGGGACTAATTCTGGATATGGCTCATATCGGAGCGGATGTCGGACAGGCATCGATGGTTGTGACATTCTTTCGTACTCGTTAAAATTTCGATGTCGCCTCGGGTTCCCGCTCCATTCCCCACCTGTTTGTCTTCTTTTACGACACCTAAAAGATAGCAGTTAAATGTTAAGAAATAAGTTTCCATAACTGCAAATATTTATATGTTTCTATAGGAAACTTAGAATTTGAGACCAAATAGCTTAATTTCAAATTGACTTGTTTAATTCAAGTCCTCTTATAGAAGTAGTTGCAAGCTGCGAAATGGGAACTAACTGGTTTGCAGACGACGGGTAGTTGAACATGCGGTCTTCTCCATAGGACACTGCAGGAGCCCAGCATGATGGCTGGTACGACCTATTATGCGAACCTATTTGGTATGTTTCGAAAAGCGGTCTAGGACTATGACCAATGCCGCGTTCAACCATTCTTCGTCCTGCATCGCTTAATCCATGTCGTAATATTTCGCGCGAAAACCCTATTTGAGGTCGATAGGACTAAAAAAGTAATATTTTCACGAATGAGTTTTTCTGTACGAAAAGGTATATGAGAAAAATCCAGAATCAAATAAAATTTAAGTAATAACGACAGGGGATTTTAAAAAAGTTCCATTAAAAATACAGGGGCAGGTTCAATAAACGGTTATTTCACGAACTGTCTAGATGCCACGCTTACTTCTCTGCGATCCAGATTAATGTCTTTCAAAGTTCGCGGCACATCAACAGCCCCCGGCAAACGTTTGGTAGCAAACACATATCCTCTTTCAAATTCCGGATCTTTGTAAATCATCATGATAGCTTTATTTTTCTACAACAGAAATTACAGACGTCTATTCCATGAAAAAAGGAGCAGATGATTTCAAATGTATGAAGACGAAATGTTAGTAAAAAAAAAAGAACTTAGCAAATTCAAAAAAGTACAACTCACAGCTATATCTGTGAATTCATCAACTGAAAATGGCGACTTATAATTCTGTCCTTTCATTACAGCTTTAGCATCTACACCAACAGTACCAGCCATTCCAAATGTTAACGAGGTGTCAATTGATAAAGCGATCGAGTCTAAAATTAAGAAAGAATCACCCTTCACTTCCATCACATCTTGGAGCTAGTTTAAATATTC